TTCTCGAGGTCTCTACAGCAGAACCAGACCAGGTATCTATTCCTCTCTCCCCTCCACCACCTCCTGCCTGTGGCCCCCCTCCCAATGAACCTGACCATCAGGAAATTCCAAGAGGCCGGAGCTTCCATCCTAATGGCCCTGGCCTCCCCTAGTCTAGGCTGCCCATAGTGGAAGGGTCCCCTTGGGAGGCCCTGGCTGGTGAAGCTGTGCACGGCTGTGTGTGTTGGTCTCTGAACACATCCCAAAGCACACAAAAACAACTTGGGATAATCAGCATTTTGCACAGGTCGGGGAGAACTGGCTGTTCTACGCCAGCTCATGTGTTCCAATAGAAACGGATTAAATCATCCAGACATGGAGATCTTTCAGGTGACATTTTCATTTAGAACTCACCATTAGAGCTGGGCTTGAGTCCCTTCTTGGAGACCTGCACTATGAGTCAGCCAAGCCCGTACACACAGTTGACAGGACAGGCTGTGATCATCCACGGCCGTCTGCTGCGGCCCTGGTTTCCTTGGCATTGAGAACATCATATGCACAAAGCTCTGTTTCTGGATGTTAGTCACTCGGGTGTGTCCGACTCTTTGGGACCCCATGGACTGTCGCCCGCCAGGCTCCTCTGTCCATAGGGATTCTCCAGACAAGGATACCAGAGAGGGTTGCTATTCCCTTCTCCAGGGGATCTTCCCAGCCAAGGGACGGAACCCAGGTCTCCAGCATTGCAGGCAAATTTTTTACCATCTGAGCTACTAGGGAAGGATAGGAGCTAAATTTTTTACCTTGGTGGCTAGTGGAAAATAAGCCATCGATCCACTGACTGTATTTATCGAGTGCCTGGTTAGAAGCATAGGCTCTAGAGTCAATTGACTGAGTTCAAATCCCACCTCTCCAAGTCATGAGCTTTGGGACACTGAGCAAGTTACCTAGTGTCTTTGAACCTTAATTGAGGAGAATCTTAGTAATATGTATCCATTAGGCTACTAGGAAGATTGTTCCAGGGTTAGTTCCTTGAGAAGTAGAAGGTGAGACAGAAATTAGCCAGGAGGATTTTATGAAGGGATCCTCCTAAGAGTAACACCAGTAAAACTGAGCAGGAAGCAGGACTGGGCAGAGGGAGAAGCTGAGCTGGGATGCAGTCCCAAGCAAGTAGCAGCCCACCCCAGGGGTGCTCTGGAGCTGGGAGAGCACGTTAGCAATGCCTCCAGTTGAACCCAAAGGACAGGGTCCTGACGCCCCTCTGGCAAACAGTCACTGGATCCAGTCTGTCCCTAGAAGGAGATGTGACCTTGGGCAAGGCAGTTTTCATCAGCTGAATCAGTCTGCAAAAGGATGCTGGTGACTGGTTTCCTACAGTGTTCACAACATCTAGATCCTTCATTCCTACAAGGGCATTACAGTAACTATCACAAAGATTAAATGAGATTATCCACATAAAGCTCATACCACAGTACCTAGCATTCAATAAATGCTTGCCACTTGACCACCCTTACAATCATTGTTTTTACAACTGTTAATTGCCAGGCACTGTGCTAGAAACTGGGGACTCAGTGTCCATCAGATTCTGCTCCTAGGCTCAAGAAACTCAGTGCATAGCAAATCAGACCATTAGGCAAGCAACTGCAATGCAGTGCACTTGATAGGGTGCCCCAGGATTTGTACGGGAGCATCTAGAAAGGACACATGACCCAGACTAGGAAGGCAAAGGAAAGTCATACCAAAGGTGATACCTGGAGATGGAGAGGAGTCAGCCAGGCAAAGGGTGAGGGAGCTGTCAGCGGTGGTGAAGAAAGTTGAGGAGGCAGTGTGCTCATGATGTAGCCCAGCAGAGCCAGCAAGGAGTGGGCATCAGAGAGAGGGGAAGAAGGGTCTTTTACACACCAGGCCAACGAGTGTTGGATTTGGAGATAAAGAGGGCAACGGGGAGCCATTCAAGCTTTCTAACCAGAGAAAGGACGTGGCCCATTTGTGCTTGAAAATGGTCGCTCTGGCCACCATTTGGGCAATGGATTGGACATGAACAACCTAAGAGGCTGTTCCCAGGGTCCACACGAGAGACAAGGATGACCTGGACTAGGCTTGTGGCACTCAAGAAAGAGAGGATGCCCAGAAACAAGGTGATACCATCTACAGACTCAATGATGATTGGATGGAAAGAGAAAAACGGATATTCAGGGTCATGTTTCAGCTTCTGATCTAGGCAAATGAACTGCAGAAAGCCTAGTGTCTTAGTCCATTCGAGCTGCTATACCGGACTAACTCAGACCAGGGTGCTTATAAACAACAGAAGTGTATTTCTCACAATTCTGGAGGCTGGGAATTCCAAGATCAAGGCACCAGCTGATGCAATGTCTGGTAGGTGCCAGAGGACAGCCATCTCCTCACTGTGCCTTCACATGGTGGAAGCAAACAGGCAGAGAGCTCTCTGGGTTTTTTTTTTTTTAATAAGGGCATTAAACCCATTCATAAGAGCTCCATCCTCATGATCTAAGCATCTCCGAAAGGACCCAGCTCCAACTGGCAGCACACTGGGGAACACGGTTCAGTACACGAACTTTGGGGGACACAAACATTCGGTCTATAGCCCCTGGGGAATGAATGTCATAAGATCTAGAAAAAGAAAAAGCCATCAAGATTAGACATGTGCCTCATTATTCAGCATGGCTTAAAGGAGCTTCTTCTAGACAGTTCTCCAAGATATATGACTCCATTGGAGACAGACCCACTTGAAACACCTGATGGGCTATAACTCTCAGAAGCCGGTATGGTAATCCCAGAGGAACCTGTTTCCTCCCTGCTTCTCTAGCAAATCTAACAAAAAAGCAAACAAACGTTAACACTAGCAAAGAATGTTCTATCTTTAAATGTAGTTGTAGTGAAATCAAGCAACGGAAGAAAATACAAATAAACATCCACTTTGGAATCAACCTTCAATAAACATCAATATTTACTGAATATGGACTCTAGGCCCAGCCTTCTGCTCAAGGCTTCAAAAGCAAGAAAAAATATGAGAGCCACTGGGATTTCCCTAGCAATCCAGTGGTTACAACTCTGTACTTTCAATACAGGACACAAGTTCAAGCTCTGGTCAGTGAATTAAGATCCCACATGCCACCCAGTGCGACCAAAAAATAAAAAAAGAGGCCCGCTGACTAGTGCACTTGAGGGCTCAGCTCTTTCAACAGTAACACTTCTTATGGTAAATTGGTGCACTGGCATTTGGGTTTATACCTTAGTCTCTCATCTCTGTGTTTTCACAAAGCTGAGTTTTTGTACTTTAAAGCTGATGAGTAGACCTATGCAAGTGAGACCTCTGTTCAACTGGAAATGACTGGCAGGTCTCTTCAGCATTTGCTCCAAAACGAGTAATTTGAGGGTGGGAAGAGACAAAACGCGTTGCTTCTGAGAGTTCCAGAATGTCCTCTGCATTTGAGTTGGAAAATTTGGCCCAATAATAGTCTAGCCCAGGGCACCTTCTCAAAAATGTTTCTGGAGAAGGGAATGAGCCTGCAGGCCTAAAAATTTAAAATGGGACCTCCCAACATCCCACCTCTGGGGGCATACTCTCTTTCTCAGAGGAATGGAGGTGCTTGGCAGAGGTTACAAGCACAACCACCATTTCATCAACCACACAAAATTTTTTCATAATTTGAATTCTTCCCTACCTTCCAAAGGGCTTCCCAGGTAGCTCAGTGGGTAAAGAATCCGCCTGCAATGCAAGAGACATAGGTTTGATCCCTAGGTCGGGAAGATCCCCTGGAGAAGGAAATGGCAACCCACTCCTGTATTCTTCCCTGAGAAGTCCCATGGACAGAGGAGCCTGGCGGGCTCCACAGGGCCGCTAAGAGTTGGAGGTGACTGAGCAGGCATGACTTACCCTACTTTCCAAATGAAGGTCAGATTAAGATAGCAAGAACCAACTTGCACCATCAACAAGACCCAAACCCCAAAGAACGTTTTTTCTTTAAAGTTCTTCACTTCAACGACAGAGTCTACATAGAAGACATGTGCTTCAGGAACATGCATGCGCTGATGCAATCTTTCTTTAGGATTCAAAAGAAAGGCAGGTGAATTTCCATTTGTACTTTCATTATTCTCCCTGGCTTGCTTCTGGTGTTGGATCAACATTCCAGAGCCCCTTCCGGACGGCCCTTAAACCCATGGAAAAAAAGTGATTAACTGAGGGTCACCAATATCCCGGAGTCTCAGTAATCTGGGGGTGCAAAGGCGGGGTGGGAGAGATTCTAGTTTAATCCCCAACGACTCTCTTCCCCCGCCCCCCCAACAACTATAAAGGCTAACGTTGAGTTTGTTTTTATAGGAAGGAGCCAGTCCCAGGAACACCCACGCTGCTCGAAGAAGACGGAGCGAGTCTGAAAACCGAAACCGGTCCAGGACACACGGATGACGTCCCAGAGGGGTTCGCTCGACCTGCCGCCTGGCGGCTCAGGGATCCCCCGGATGCAAGGCCCCCGCCCAGCTCAGGGACGACTCGTCCGGGCAACACCCACCCCGGAAAGCCCCCGCCCGGGGGAGACGCGAATGTGGGGAAGAGGTGGCGGGGTGGAGGAGGGGCGGGCGGCGGATGCCCCGCCCACGCCCCGCCCACGCCCCGCCCCGCCCCGGTTATAGCCGATGACTCAGGGCGGAGCTCCGCATCCAACCCGCGCCGCCGCCAACTTCTCTGGATGGGACCAGAAGTTTCTAGCCGGCCAGTTGCTACCTCCCTTTATCTCCTCCTTCCCCTTTGGCAGCGAGGAGGCTATTTCCAGACACTTCCAGCCCTCTCCGGCCACGTCACCCCCTCCTTTAATTCATAAAGGTGCCCGGCGCCGGCTTCCCGGACACGTCGGCGGCGCTCACGACTCTCCGGCCGCGGCCAGCGAGCGACCCTGCACCTGGAGGTCCGGCACCCCGCGACCCCGTGACCCGGCACCCCGCGACCCGGCACCCTGCGACCCAGCACCCCGGCGGCCGCCCCTCCGGGCCGACCCCGACCCAGCATGAGCGCAGCCACCCACTCGCCCATGGTGCAGATGGCGTCCGGCAACGGCGCCGGCGACCGCGACCCCCTGCCTCCCGGCTGGGAGATCAAGATCGACCCGCAGACCGGCTGGCCCTTCTTCGTGGACCACAACAACCGCACCACGACGTGGAACGACCCGCGCGTGCCCCCCGAGGGCCCCAAGGTGAGCAAGGCCCGCGCCGCACCCTGGCCAGTTGCTCCCCCCGCCACCCCTATCGACGGCTAGTCCGGGGACAGGGCCGGGCCGGGGCGGCTGGACTGGGCCCGACTGCGGGGACGCGAGGCTCCAGGTGCCCACCGGCCGTAGCCGGTGCCCGGAGGTCAGTGAAGGCCGCCTGGGAAGCACGGATCCCCAGGAGAACGCCAGCTCTCAGGGGGGTCGACCTGCTGCGCTCCCCACGAGCCCCCTCCCCAGGCCCGCCCTTGGCCGGCGTCTGGGCCAGTTTGGGGAGGTTGCCAAGAGGACTGTCCTCTCTGGGCCGTGTTTGGTTTCCGGGGGTCGGGCGGGAAGTGGGACACGCGCGGTGGCACCAGGTCCCGTCCACCGGCTCCATTCGAGGGGCCCTGGGCCAAGAAACGACGGGTGGCCGGCCTGCTCAGCACCAAGGTCCGGGCCAGGCCCGGACACGGTCTCCACCCGGCTTCCAGGGCTCAGATCCTAGTTTCACTCTGCTGACTGTGCTTTGGCAGACACCAGGGGACCATTGGCAAGCTTCCGTGGGGGTCCTTTAGGGTCTGTTAGGAATTTTACATCCTCAAGTTCCTGGACTTAGTTGAGGGTATCTTGACTTCACTCTCTCATCTCAGGCACAGAGTGACTCAGGAGACTGATGTAAATGCATTCCTTTTCTATTTTTTCGCCTTTTCTGTATTTGAAATTGAAACTGTATTATTGTTTGAAAGTTGTCTTCACTATGAATATATTCTAGTATGACTTGTTAAAAACAAGATGCAATCTTCCAGGCAATTTCTAAACTGAAGATGTGAGACTGTCTCCTAGTTGGCTATCGCCTTAGATACTGCCTCACCCTGGTCAGAAGGAGATTTTGTTTTTTTTAATATCAATACATTCCCTTCCTCCTTATGCTACTAAAATATTTAGGATTTGTTTCTTATCCCCAGTAACACAAATAATTTGGTAGTAATACTTTTGTATTAGAAGTATGCCTCACTTACATATAGGCAGGGGTGTATATACTAAATCCTTAGAACCATGAAAATTTGAAAATATAAACTTGGAATGAGTCTGTTAATTTAAAAAATTAGAACTAATTGTACTGCTCTTGTAATTTTCTATAACTTTGAGCTTTTTCAAAATGTAAAGCTTGGCAAAAAGAAATAGACTTGTAGTAGTGTTACATTGTCTGGGCAAAATAAAAGTCATAAAGAGCTGGTAAATTATTTTGAAGATTTAAAAATTCACAGAATTAAAAATGTTTTAGAAACCGTTGTTTTAGAAGGAAAAAAAATCTTTATTAACCATCTTCATTTTTATGCAGTTTTTTCCTTTAAAATATTTATGAAACTCTGGTGCCCAACAATGAGATATTGTATAATCAGCAGCTTACACTTACAAGAAATTAATTGTATATTTATTCCTGAAAATTATTTCAAGAGGCTGTAATTAGCTTGGATGGACATGACCATGTATTCCTTTCGCTTGTCTGTTCAGCCCATTATTGAGTGAAACTAAAACTCATTTCAAACCTGCTCTGTTACTGCAGCCTGCAAGGATGTAGATCTTTACTGAGGCCAAAAAAAAAAAAAAATGCTGTCATTTGGAGGCTTCCTTCCTATAGAGACAGGAAGAGTCAGAATCCACGGGCATCATTGGTGCTGAGTGTAGGTCAAGTATGAACATATCCACTGTGAGTTCAGTGTACATGCCACATCTCTGGCACTTTGTTTTCAACATGAAACTCACCCAGCAGGTTGAGATCTTAAGTATGATGAATGGGTTAGGCCGTGGTTTTATAAACTTTTTCAAGGGGGAAAAAAAACAGGTTAAGTTACTATTATTTTTCTCAACAGGTAGAACATAAGAGCTAGTAAATCAGAAGTTTGATGCTGGAAAAGTTGATTTGAAAATTTAACAGAATTTTAAAGTTGAAAGATCGTTAAAGATCTTTTAGCTCAGCCTCTATTTTTCTAAGAAGGAAACCCAGAGAGTTCACATGTGTTTCCAAAGGCCATTCAGCCAGTACCAATAGCAAAGAGAGACCTACACCGAAAAGTCCTAGTAAGAGGCAGTTTATTGTTCAGAAGAAGGTAGAAGAGACTTAAATTTTAAGTGTGAAATGTGCAGGCTGGAGTACTTGATTATTTTTCTGCTCTTCTGACTTTTGTGACTACTTGGATGGTGATGGCTGGATGTGATCAACTCAAGAAAAAAGCTGCTTTCCAAATTAATTACTTGAGATTTCTCAACATGGCACTAGAACATAGGGAGAAAACTAACATTCACTTTGTTAGTTCTGTGGGCTTCATGGCTTTCAAGACTGTGCTTTGATGTACACAGAACAACTATGTGGCTAATTCACTTTAACTTCTGTGAATGACACCTCACTCCAGAATAAATACAATGGAAAATCTTTCAGTTAGTTCAGTCGCTCAGTCATGTCCGATTCTTTGGGACCCTATGGACTGCAGCATGCCAGGCTTCCCTGTCCATCACCAGCTCCTGGAGCTTGCTCAAACTCATATCCATCAAGTCGGTGATGCCATCCAACCATCTCATCCTCTGTCATCCCCTTCTGCTCCTGCCTTCAATCTTTCCCAGCATCAGGGTCTTTTCCAATGAGTCAGTTCATCTCATCAGGTGGCCAAAGTATTGGAGTTTCAGCTTCAGTAGCAGTCCTTCCAATGAACAGTCAGGACTGATATCCTTTAGGATGGACTGGTTGGATCTTCTTGCAATCCGAGGGACTCTCAAGAGTCTTCTCCAACACCACAGTTCAAAAGCATCAGTTCTTTGGTGCTCAGCTTTCTCTATAGTCCAACTCTCACATTCATACATGACTACTGGAAAAACCATAGCCTTGACTAGAAGGATCTTTGTTGGCAAAGTAATGTCTCTGCTTTTTAATATACTCCCTAGGTTGATCATAACTTTTCTTCCAAGCAGCAAGCGTCTTTTAATTTCATGGCTGCAGTCACCATCTGCAGTGATTTTGGAACCCCCAAAATAAAGTCTCACACTGTTTCCATTGTTTCCCCATCTATTTGCCATGAAGTGAATCTCCTTCAGTAGCACTTTATATCAGAAGTTGGTTTCTTAATGTGGATTGAGAAGAGAGCTCCGGCAAAAAAAAACAAAGGGTGATTTTAGAGGAACTGAGCTAAGAGGACTCTCTGAGCATCCTTAACTTCCAGAGAAGATGCTGTCAGTCAGTAAAGAGCGATTCACTGAACATGAAAAACAGAGAAAGCCCTCTTCGGGGGAAGACAGTCTCTGGGGTGTTTGCAATTTAATCACATGGGTAAAGGAATGAATTTCTTGGAAAGAGGATGACTAGAACTTGTGTATGGTTTAGTCTTATTTGCTGTTGTCTTAGAGTTGATCCTCTCCCGTTTCCCTGAGGTGTTTAGAGTGACCTTTCATCCCATTTTAAAAGAGGGGGCAAGTGAAAGTGTCTTGCCCTTCACTGCAGAGGCAGGACAGCTAAAGGCACAAGGCTTTGGGCTTACTCCAGCTCCACTCTGAGGATCTGAACCTCCCCACCGGCAGTCTTCCTGTATATCGATTTTCTGCACACGTGGGCGGCCCACTAATCTCCTGGCAAGTTCCTACCAGTCCAGGCCCCTTCTCTGGCAGAGGGCTTGGCATCCTCTTTGAGATGTACAGTTTCTATGCAGGCCACTCCTCTGGCTCGCCTTGTGAAATAAACAGAGGCCAGATGCTTTGGAGTGTGGCGCTGTGCCGCTCCCTCGCAAACCTCCCTGGGCAGAGGAGCAGGGCGGTTCTAGCTCTTGCGGTCCCAGAGGTGCCTGGGCACAGCTTCCTGAGCCTGGCAGTCTCCAGGGAAGCCTGAGGAGAACACAGGTTGCCAGCTGTGCATCCTCCCTTGTTGGATCCAGGTTGCTCAGGGTAGGATGCAGAAATCTGTACGTCAAAAAAAGCTGCCCGGTTGGCTCTTGATTCTGGCGCCCGGGCATTTGGGAGTCACCAAAGGACAATGATCCCACATCCTGGAGGGGGTGGCGTGGGGGAGCTCTGACTTTGTGTGCACCTGTGTGAGCCTTGGCATCCTCAAGGGAGCCTGCTTCACACCTAAACCTGCAGAACCATCGCCCGAGCCTCCCTTCCTTCCCGGTGAAACTCAGCAGGTGCCTCAGTTTCTGGGGGTGAAGATGGGGGTGGCAGGGGGAGGGATGGAGCATGGCAGGGTGCCAGTGCCGGGTGTGGAGAGGTGATCCCCAGACCCTTGTGAACCCCGGGAGAAGCAGGCCAGAGGCTTGTCCTGCTGGCCGAATCTCACCACAGTCATTTGACAGATTATCCTCAGGCCCTACAGGAGACAGGTAGGCGCATCCTTGCAGAGGAACTCAGAGCTCGTTTGCGTTTTCAGTTGAAGCAGGGACCCATTTGTTCCCTTTCACGTTCAGGAGAGCTTCCTGAATATTCCGAGAGATGAGATCATCTTGTGGTTTGCAGATCGATCGCAAGCTCTTGTGCCTCTTAGAATCAGAACACAGGAAAGGAGCGGCCATTCTTTCCTTTGTATTTCCAGCCAGTTGCAGTGACTCTGGAGCAAATGTCTGTATTGCAGATGAATAGCAATTTGCCAAGGGTTCGATAAAGAGCATGGCCAAACAAATGCCTTCGGAGCCCAGCTCATCCAAGACCTTCGTTTTTCCCTCTGAAGAATAGTCCATGTTTGGCCTATGCCAGACCTGACCAATAACTTGTCCCCTGTTTGGCGGCATATATTTGCGCTTTACAAGGGGTAGAGAGCGCACAGGAACTGTGGCAGCGGTTGACGTTAGCCAGGGCCGGGAAGGCTTAGTTGTTTGATGCCATTGGGGCTGCCTGTGAGTCAGAAAGCTTCATACCACCCATGAGGCTTGATTAGCATTGTCCTCATTTCTGGAATGACACACAGTTGCCTTATATAAACCACTCTACACGTTGGTTTCTTCCTATTGACATTTAAAAACGACCTG